TGCTTAGACTCGAGTATCTCAGCGATTTCCGTAGTGGGGACTGATTGTCTGGGTTCCAAACTGAGACAACTGGGTTCATATTTGTCAAAATAGGTTGATTTTTTTGTTTTTCTTGTAAGGTAAGGTCCATGTTTTTTTCTCTCTAAATATGCATTATTTGACCAAACCAATTCAACTTTTTTTTTCCCTTTTATTTAACAAATTATCATCCCAATTAGCATCATTGTCCCAACCATTATCGTTATCCCAACCACTATCATCATTATCTCCCCAATCATCAACAGTCTGTATTTTTTTTTGCAAACCTTCCATTATTGTCTCGTTCTTGTTCTTTAATATTAAATTTTCTTTTTGATGGACGGGTCATTAATACATAGTAATAGGTTCGATCAAGATTATCAAGAACAATGATTATCATATGTAAATTTCGTATACAAAGTGCTGATCTCTAGTCCGAAATTTGCCTTTTTATTATATATATCATATAAGAATTCACTGAATTTTAAACCATAATAACTTAAAATTTTACATAACATTTTATAAAAGTACACCAATAAAAATGTTCAGTTTGTTTTAATTTATCATTTTATCGGTTTAGATTTATAATAAGTTTATTTGTTTTTAACTTATAAAGTTTGAAAGTCATGTGATATTTGTGTGGTTTATACTGTAGGTGAGTGCCACCATACCACTATTTTTTTGAGACATACTGTATATAATAGTCATATGATTTGAAGACATTGTGATTACCACACCACTATCTCTCATAATAATACGGGACTCTACGCGTACTGGCAGTGACCTAATATGTCCTAGCAGCAGCTGATTGTATCACAGAATTGTATGGTAGAATATACCCCGCCATTACTTAAATAAACCCACGTTTTTTATTTAAAATTTGTAAGTCAGAAATCACCCATTGATCTCCCTAACAAGTCTGACTTATTGAGTTTATTATTTATTTGGAATAATACTAATTCAGACATAAAGGAATTATCATTATGTCTTAATAATGGGACATACAAGCAACAAAAGAATTTAGGGCTTGTTACTACATATTAAACGATGGCAAACAAACTCAGCAACATATTGATTGTTTTTGGTTGAACGCTGCATAAAAATTCTGAGCAGAAAGACGCAGATTTTATATCGAATTAAGTCTCGAAGTGTAACTTTGCAATATGCAGTTACTTTCTTCTTCGGGAATAAAATAAGTAAATCGCATCATTTGAGCATTCGACGACAATACGCTGGATCTTTCTGTCGTAAGTATGACTGAAAGTGAGATAGGCATTTCGTCTTTGGTGTAGAGTAGTACTATAAGATTTTACCAAAAAATATCGTAACTATGTGTAGAAGAGAAATATAAATAAAGCAACTTAGAGGGACTTTGAACCATTTTCGGGAATTCAGATTTTTTTTTCATATTTATTTCTCTCTGAATAAACAATGGCCTAAAAGTATGTGACAACATAATGTAATAACGACAACATGGGTGCTCTGGACTTTCAAATCCTTTTTTAAACATACAATGAAAGTTTAACTTTCATCAAAAATGACGATGGTTAAGGGATTAATTCCATGCGACAGAATTACTTAAAAATTGATTTCGTATGAGCCGACTAAATTGTTGATACAGTTGAAAGAATCTGGTTGTTGGCATTAGTTTTCACCGGTCGTTGGACGTCCGTAACAAATTCAAGCATACAACGTTACTTCTGGGATATGGAAGTAGCGTCCCGCGGTTTTATAATAGTTTGTCGGACCTATAAAAAAGCATGGTCAACTATCTGACGAATAAATAAAATACGACTCAGCCTAAAAATATACTCACGAGTTCAACACATGACGGCTTCTATCTTCTTATTATGAGCCAAAGACGATAGATGAATATACACGGGCTATCGTAGTGATACCATCGACTTAGTAATGTAGCAGTGCGATGTGTGTGGTAGGGAAGTTAACGACAAATGAGGCTCCATAACTTACATATTCGATACTTCGCTGGCTTGATTTTTCGTAGACTTAAAGTTGTCTTCTTTGCTCGAATAAGATCCGCCGTTGGTTGATTGTGATATGTTAAAGGCCGTTGCAGGCTAATAGATGATGATTTAGCTTGGTCAAAATATAAAGAGATTTGTTTAACATTTATTTCTTATGACTTACACTTACAGCGGGAGTATGTGCAAACTTTAAAAGTTCGCTGAACCTCAGAAAAGCCGAGCTGGTCCGTACGGACCAGCCTCTCCCTTTTGCAAACAGCGGTGAGAAGTTGATCGACGTTGGGGGATTATAACTAATATGCTTCCAGAGCCCTAACCAATCCCGGTCTACCCGATAAGAGTTCCTGTTTTGGAGCAGTACGCCTTTGTGTAAGGTTAAATTAAAATTTAAGAAAACAAACGCTAACATAAAAACGGGTTAATTAGTAATTGGTGAATAAGTGTGTCGCAACCCCGTGACTTCCAGATCCATTCCCATTATCTTTCTTGAGAATTATTATAGATTTTATAATGAACCGATTTCTAATCTAACTCGGCATGGGGAAACTATCAATTTATTCATATCGGGATGCACAATAACACTACAGTACATCTCAAATTCAGGGGGTATTATAGGAAATCACGGGACTGCAAGGTGCAAAACAGAAACTGTTCATTGCAAGCCATATAGCGCACAGTTCTGTCTCTAAATAGAAAGAAGGCCGTTCATTACATTCGAAATAACCTTCATTCCCAAGTGTCTTTGTCAACGTTTTTTACTCTTTCATGACGGCTCCATCTCCGGATCTCGCTTTCCGGTGTGGCATTGTACAAGAGTGATAGACAATAGTGATAGCGAATTGATTTTGCATGAAGATTGACATGACTAGCATCAACACGTAATTGTACTACAATATCCCTTATTTTTGATTCTGAGGATTATCATGTCCAGTATCTTGTATTTAAAGGTTATCCAATTACATTATATTATATTTGCTTTCAATCACAATCGTCAAACATCCAATTGCATTACGAGTAAGTTGCGTTTTTGATGTTCAATAATAAAATTGGCCGCGTGTATCTTGAACTTCACCGATAGCATTCCTCGGAATATTCAGCGAGTATTTTAATTTAAATCCATAGCGTTAGAATGTTAGCATAATTAGTCTCATAATTAGATCAGCATCTAGTGAAACGCTAGAAATGAATACGCACGTATAAGCGGTTGTAAGGCGATGTTATTAATTTTCTAAATATATATTAAAGAAATTAATAGGCCATTAAGAGTAGCGGTTAAATCTGAAGTGTTGTATTCTTATTTAATTGTTATATATTTTATAATTATTACGGATAGTATAGAAAGGCCGATGGAGACACGATCCCAATGTAAGTCTGCGAACAAGTGTACTACGAAACACGAATCATTCGTCTAGCAATAGTGAAATCATTCGTCTAGCAAGAAGGAAAATTATTCTCTAAAGAAATAATTAGTTATGATAATGTCCGATTTTAGAGATAGAATTATAGAGATATATTTAAGTAGTATAATAAAGTTGGCTAAGTCGGGGCCTCATCACTAATAGTAATACTAAGCATCGATACTACAGGGCCCTAGAGGGAGCGCAGCCGCCTCGTGAAGAAAACCGCTGACACCTGTAGAAGTATCTGTGGTGATTGGTTCAGTGATTTTTGGACAGGATATTAATCCTCTAACTGTAGATCTGAAGTAGACCAAGTAATTATCTTATTGACACCTGTTTTCTTAAAATAAGGCTTATAATAGAAAGGGAGCTTGTCTTTCTGAATATTATAATAATAATTGTTTAGCTTTATTATGGATGTGTGATAAAAAGCATAGATGGTTTGCTACTTTTGATAACGTTAAATGTTCAAACTCGTGGTGTCCATTCTGCCCAAAATATAAAAGAGAAAAGCTGTGTCATGAGATTTTAACAAAGTATCTTCACCAATCCGCAGACCTGATTTCTTAAAGACACAAGAATATCCAAATGGACTAAAACTTGATACATTTTATCCGCAATATGGCTTTGCAATCGAAGTACAAGGCATACAACACGAAAAATATCACGAATTCTTTCATGGAGGCGATCCCAATAATTTTATTAAACAGCAAGCACGGGATCAACTCAAGAATGAATTGTGCAAAGAAAATTGGATTGTTTTAAGATATGTTTGGCATTACGAAGACCCATATATAGTTATCCCAGAGCATCTTCGAGAATTGCGTCTCATTTAGTAAACTCAAAATTTTAAATGTTCATAATGATGATACAATAAAATAAGTATATTATTATCTTTTCCAATACACAAGTGAACGTAAAGGCAAACAAAGTAAGCTCCGAAACTTTATTAACTTGGCAGTTTAAAATACATCTTTACTATTTTTTTCAAATTGCTATGATAGTACATTTCGCAAAAATAATGCAAAACATAATTAACGATTTGCGTATATTATGGCGCGTTTTTTTTTCTTTTTCTCATGTACCTCCATATTCTTAATATATTCTTAATGTTTTTTCTTTTTTGATCTCTTGTTAATTTCTTTTTTTGCATCAATAGATTAAATATAAAAATATTAAATAAAGTTATCAGCAACTAATGCAACATTACAATAACATTTTTTGCACATACGTTGAAGTAATTCTTTGAACTCATATACAGCTCCATCATACTCCCAATATCATGGCACTTGATTTTTCTCGTCATTTGACATTGCTTCTTCCAAAGAATTTCCGAATGGCCACAACATCTGACATTCTTCCTCCCATTGAAACACACGACCATAGCAATCCAAAAAAATCATTCCATTTTCAATCTCCCCAATTATAATGATATGATCAAAGCCGAATTGTGCAACATTTGTCATATAATAGGTAAGTTCTTTTGGATCATCACTATTAACAGGAAGATCGCAACCAATAGAAGTTGCAAGATGACGACGGCTAGATTCATCTTTAAACGTGTCAACTACCATAAGTGTATTATTGCGAAGTGATTCATCTTGTTCAATACGTTCTGACATTTGAGACATGGATCTGAGACCTTCAATTGTTCTCCTTGTTTCTTCGGTAATGCAAGGGTGCGCGAGTACAAGACGGCACGGTTTCGTCTGGATTTTCTTTGTCCACGTAGTGCCTCCCAGGGTACCGATTCGGGACAGTTTCCCAAAGGATGCCTGCAATAAATGGATTGCTCTTTGGTCAGGGCAGTATTTGAAGCTTTCTGCAATATCAGCATCGTTACTATTATGATTATTACGTCAATAAATAAAAGGTTTTGATTCTTTAGAAAGTGTGAGTGGTAACGACGAGTTGTCAACGTACGTATTGAAAATAAACACATATTATCATGTATAGTTTTGATTTCATTCTTCTGCCTGTACATTTTCCTGTCGTCGGGTAATCTGAACTTCAAATAATCACCGACAGTCAACAATGGTAACGACGAGTATTGTTTCTCTTGTATTGATAAATGTTGTTTGCACCATTGCGCGTCTCCGTGGTATTCATATGCCTTCAACACATTCAAAATTGTTATTAAATTACAGGTACAGAGATATAAATTTCTTCTTTGCATCGGCTTGGCGTGAAGAATATCGAATCGACCGAGAGCAAAGAAATATGGCTTTACGCGGTTATTTTCCTGCATATTCCTCGCCGGCGCATCCAGATAACCAAAATTTAACCATCGACCTTTAACATTAAGATGACAGATGCCAGATTGCAGCGTTTGATCTCGGGTATTATTTCATCTTTTAACTCGTCATGTTCTTTAACCGATAGCATGAACCAGGACCTTAAGCAGATAATGCGCTTAGCTCATTGATTCTCTTTTCATTACAACTGGCAAATACTTACATAATGCATCGCTCACCTCGCGTCCATTCGTTGTTTCGCTGAGTTATATGATGACGATCAACCCATATTCAGAATATGCTGTACGACCATAAAAGTGTAGTTACTATAAGTAATAATATTTAATTTATAACGCGCCATGATAAAAATAGAGAATAATGAGTAGAAATTTATAATTATCTACATTATTGACTATTATCCGACTTTTCGTCACAAGCGTTCCCAAACCAATAATCAGTCAAAGAATAATAAAAGCATTTTTTGAACTTACATAACTTTACAATGAGCAAGTGAATCGATACTCAAAATACCTCATTTAAAACCGCAAACGCACAGATTTTATTTATAAAAATTAATAAGGAATTCGTTCACCATTACTTTCAATAATCGCCTTACAACGTCTTTTCATCGATTTTACCAATTTTTTACATGTTGTTATTTTCATCCTTCCCAATCTTACATGTTTTTGAATTATGTTCTTTCATAAGACTTAGCGCTCGTTGCGTTTTTGCTGTAACCGAAGGTGACTTTCCCGTACTCTGGAATAACAATTTTTCAACCGTCAACATTTAACCCTTGAAGAAATTGAACCCCCTCTTCCTTGATAGTAAACGTCATTCAACCATAGACGACTCTCTCAGTCTGTCTCCGGGGAATCTTCTTCTTGCTTTCTCTTTTAATATCGCTTCCTGTATATACTCGCCGACGCAGATACGATTTTGAATTTTTGACATCATTCCATTTAGGTATTTCATGGACCACTGAACTTGGAGGCGGTCGGTAATAATAACCATATCCATAGTCATACGGATCGTACGCGTCAATGTAATATTTTCTCGGATCTGATTCATATCCATAGCCATATCGATCATCTACTCGTGAATAGTGTAGATAGTTTTCATCGTATAGCTCGGGATGTCGGTGCGGTGATTTATAATACATTGGTGGGTAGTTGCGGGAATTTGGTGGGGGAGGCGGTAGTGGTGGTTCATAATATTTTGGGGGATAGTTGCGAGGAGGTGCGTAGGGCGGTAGTTTGTAATATTTCGGAGGATAGCTGCGAGAATTCGGTATATACTGTGGTGGTGGCGGTGGTGGCAGTGATGCGGAATAGTAATTGCGTGGTGTTGTGGAATAAGGGAGGCCTGCAGTCTATAAGTCAGTGAGTAGAATTTGTAATTGACGGATAGGCGGAGAAGGTAATAAAATTGGTAATCTACCTCTCTTCGATCGGTCCCCGTACTACTTCGTTTTCGCCGATTATCTGCG